CCCCGCCTTTTCTCACTATTATCAGTCTAATGCTACTCTTTAGATCCAACCACCTACAGTCAACTCTACAGATTTAATCATTTTTAGTCTTTATTCTCCATTATTATTTAAGATATGGCTATTGAATTATTTATACGCATAACAAGCTCAATTAGCAATATTTTAGAGCATCAAAAAAGTTTGTTTGATTCCAGAAAACTGGAGAAAGTAGATTTAAATTGAAGTAAAGGCTTTTTCACCAGCTACTTTTAACTGGCCGATCGAAAGTCATCACAATTTGGTGTTTCATAGAGTTTTATAGAGATAAAGTACGAGGTCAAGAATTCCCATTCTGGTCTTAACTCAGTTTTCAGTTAGTTTCTCCTCGATTCCCCGTTAAGGCAACTGTTCATTTCATAGATTACAATGTAAACTGATGTTTTTACTTGGTCAATTTGGTAACACGCAGAAGTCTCAACATGCCTCTCTCTCTGCTTGAGCAGCAGATGCCACAGTTACTGGTGATGGCTGACAATCAAATAGACATGCTGTGGCTGAAAGCATTAGTTTGAGGGGGAGGGCAGCTCGAGAGAGCAAAATTCAATCAATACTGATCTAAAGGATCAACTGCTTTCTTAGGTTTTTGACCCTGTCACCTTTTGACCCCCGAGGCAACATTCAGGCACCTGCCCCCTTCAATGGATCCATGTTTATTGTATAAATCTATTGTCTCCCTCTCTGGGATATTTGCATATGAACAGTGGAGGTACTGCAGCTCTCTGTCTTTCTTTCTGTACTGTATGTGCACGGCAGGTCTTGCGTGGTAGCGACAATCAGGAGACACTGTATACCTCCAAACACTCTGACATCCCTTCAACCACACAGAGCCCGCTTCTACCTCAAGTATAACAAAGCCTTGGCTTCAGCCAAAACAGACTTTTCAAGGTTGTGTTCAAGCAGAAAAACCTCATCAAAACGATATTGATGCTGGTTATTAAATACTATGAAAGAGGTTGTAATGACCACAGACATTAAGATATTAACTTTTGGTTATGCAAGGGAAGTCAGAGATGTTAGTACAGTTCAGGGTTCAGTTCAAGCTTAATCTTCTTCACTGAGAGCTCCCCTCAGTGGGAGGTTTTGTTATGACGCACTATCAGTTCACATTTCCTAAAGGCAAAGGCAAAAAAGGTCTGAGCTAAGGCTGTGAAGATTTATTGTCCTTCATTGTGGACATTTACTGTAAACAAAGGACATATTTAAGTTTTAATTTCTTCATTTCACTACTTAGGGTTTTGTTTTTTAAAGTGACAAGGCCTCATCACTGGACACATTAAGGCTCCACTGAAACAAACAATTTTAGAGGCATTTAATTACATAATTTGTTTACTTATTTAAACCAGTAAACAATCAATAATCAAACATCTTGCTTGTTTCTCTTTGCTGGGGTCAAACAGGTTTCTCCATAATTTACAAAACATTGGAGCAAAGTAGCTGTGAAAACTATATCAGTCTTAACTCTGTTCTTTACCAGAGTTTGTTCTGAATCTGGAGAAGAATTTCTATCAGGTTTTATGGTCAGACTGGTATTTATTTCTGAATGCTACCAGCTGTTTTTTATGTGTTCGTATGTCTGTAGCCGCTTTGTTTTCTTTCTTCCTTTTGACAAAGTTACATTATTGTGTGGTTATGCAGTTTAAACGCTTGGGTTGATTTCAAAAAGTCTGCTTGTTAGGTGCATTCATGTGCTGTTATACAGATCAGAAAAACAATAACCCCGCTGGACTTATTTTCATCTCACTTTTTTTGTCTTGGTGTTTGATTTCCAGTCAATCCAGGAAGGTTGTAAATGTAGTGCTTTACATGGGCTGACTCCCAATCAGCACAAGCCCCTGCAGTCTCTTGTGGTTGGCTTGCTCGCTCTGTCATAACTTTCAAGTGTTTCACCTTGAAATAGTGCTGCTTTTATTCCCACCAGAGCCTATCTAAAGAACGTCTTGAAACCAGAGTGTCTTGCATGGAAAACGAAAACTCTGACTCTTGTTCCCACATGTTGCTGACATGGAAATTCTGCTGGAACATTTACGGGTTAAGGTGCATGTGGGCTTTGGGGGCTTTTGACTCAACATCACCACTGAGTTTATCTCCATCAGGGGGACTGTGGACAAGGAAAATTTGAAATAACAAGATGCCTTCTGCTGTGACAATTGTTGTATGAAATAACCTGTATTACTAAGATTCATTAAATAGAATATGTCTGAAATATGGCTTTTTAGGGCTATGCATTATATCATGTTCCTACTACCTGTTGTTTCTTTGCTTTTTTTTGGATATCCTATAGCAAACCCGGCACACCGAGATTACTTTTAGAGCAAATGTATTAATATAATGATGATGATGATGATTAATAATGGGATTATTTTAGGGAAGCATGTGATGTGTGTGTGGGCTTCACGTGTCTTCAAGTTAACTGAAACTGGCTATTGTGTCTTACAACTTCTCAGGAAAATCTACCTCTACCTCCAGTTTTATGCATTTAACCCAGTTTAAGTTACAGTTTAGTGAAAGAGGACGTGAGAGCGGACCCAGGTCTGAAATAACTCCAACATATATAGTACCTAATATAGCTCATAATGGCACACCTAAGAGTGTATTACATCAAGTATTGTGGTATATTTATATCCGTTTCCTGGCTGTTAACAAATACAAATACTCTCAGAAAATATATTTATCACCCTGGTGGGTGCTGAGAGGTTTATTTTGGAATCTTGGGCCTTTCGCCATCTCTCTGATTCTCTCTGTGTTACAGGTTGGTAACACTTTAGCTTATTTGAGCATCAACAACAGTTCAACAGCTTACTAACTACTCAGTACTACACAATAAAATACTGCTTTTAGTACCACTGTTAGTACTGCCAGTCGTTTTTCAGTATGTTCTATTAATGTGTGCTTATTCCTCCTTTTTTTATAAATGATTTTTTTTTTGTTGTTGAATGGGATGTTTCCCGGTAACCACGGTAATAGTGAAGTGGCGGCGGGCAATGCAACAGTTTATTTTTTGTTTTCTTTGTTTTTGAAGGGTGAAGAGCTATTATTGCCTATTTACTCAATATGTGTTTGTGTGAATACTTTTATTTTGAATCTGAAATTAATAAAATATCACCTCTCTTTAATGTCACCAGAGTGAAGGATGTTTTTATTGCGTCTTTAAGATAAGTTACATCAAGATAATTTACTATGAAGGTTTTAACTATTTGTTTAAAATGTGTTCATCATTTAGGCTCCTTAATAACATTGAAAAAGCACCTCATCAGCTTTTTTTACAAATGATTTTAGTAAATATCACTTTTTTAGCCACTTATAATAAGCATTCAATTTTACCATGAATTTCTAATTTATGTAATTTACCGATTATAATTGTCTTGTTGTATTTACTTAAAAGTAAAGCATATTGCAAAAATAAACTATCCAAGTTTCCACTGGGAACAAATGTATTCAGATTAAATGTACATTTGCAAGCATTATTTTTAGCATGTTTGACTTTAAGATATGCCATTTTTGCCAATGTCTTTGATGATGTAGCCCTGATGGAGAACAGCACCTACCAGAATGTACAGATGAGCAATGGCCTCACCCATACTATAGTAACATACACACCTTTAGTGTGTGCCATGTTGTTTTATAGGACCAAGTGTAAAAGCTGAAAACACATTTGATTTTAATTGAAAACAATTTGAGATGAGACCAAAAATAAAATGTGTGGAACTCTTTGATGATGCGTTTACCCAAAAAAGTGCTATACTGTATTCCATAACACATATATATATATTATACATTATATTCGAGAACCTTAAAGGGATCTGACCCAACGCAATTCATAAACATAATTACTCTCGAGCCCTGCAACGTGACACCCGCCATAGGTTGCACTGGAGCTTTCTTAAGCACCGCCCAGTTCCGCTGCCCGCAGTGCTGAACCTATCGCACTCGGCAGATTTGAACACGCTGCTGATCGAGAAGACACGGGGCGGAGCGGGGAGGAGCTACACTCTGAACCCGGACTGCAGGGGGAAATAAAGAAGGGGGCAAAGCGATCGGACTGAAAGCTTAATCACAGTGGACGACTTTGATGTTTTCTACGTTAAACAGTCCCATTTAAAGAAGTAAAATGAGACTCAGGTCTCAAACAACCACTACGACATCCTGCTCGGAGCTGCCGAGAAGCACCCGCCGACGGTCCAACAAAGCGAGACAAACCAGCTTATCATGGACCGAAAGCCCTCTGCAAACCAAGGTAACACAGAGCAGTTTGATACGATTTGTATTCTCAGTAATCTACCTTGTTAAAATAACAAATTTCACCGTGTTAGTTTCTATATTTAGGGCAGTGTGATGTTCGTTACCCGGACGTTGTTTAGCTTGGTGCTAGCTAGTGTTCTCAAATCATAACAGTAGGTGGTGTTGCTAACGCTAGCTAGCTGCTGTTGTGCTAAAGCTGTGCACTACATGTTATCTACTTTACTTAATCAGGGAAGAACAAATGCATATGCTCTTGACAAAACATCAGTGTTGTTATAATACATTATTGGTTTGCTTGCACCCGAAACTGATAAGCATTACGTTAGCTAGCGTTAAAATGGGAGGATGGCTGATAACGTTCAGGTATACGGTTGCCGGTTTTATTAGGTAACGTTACACCAAGCTCAAAGCTAATCCAGTGTAACAACAGCCTTGCAATAACTCTTAACAGCATGAAGCTAGAAGGTTATTCATTTAACGTAGTGGTCGTTCGGAGGTTGTTGTGTGCAGCTGTTAAATTGTATCTACATTAGACGTGTTCTAATTGTTTACATATGATCCTTTTTAGAGTTAAAGGTGGGGTAGGTACGTTTGAGAAACCGGCTCGAGATACACTTTGTTATATTCCATGGAATGCTCTTAACATCCCGATAGCAATGAAGTGCTTTGAAAAAAATCCATTACAAATTTAAATATTAAATTTCATCTGTTGAAGCCGTGGCGCTGTAAAAAGCACGACCAATCATTTTTAGCCGTCCCGGCTGCGTCTATCGTTTTTCCAACCCAGTTTAGATTTAACCACGCCCACTTCCGCATTACGCAAGGATCGACGTAGCTCTACGCGATAGCGTCATAGACTTCATCTTCGGCAGCGTTAAAGCAGGATATTGAATAGTTGTTTTTTGTCTTTCCAAAGGATTTGTTGACTGAAAACTAAACGATCCTGTAATCAAAGCTATATCGAGTCCTGAGATTGTATTACTGGTGTTTTATCATCTATAAATAGCCTGTGTGTATCCTCAAATGTCGTTTTCAGGACAAACAAAACACGTTTTAAATATCTTATCAGAATAGCCTCTATGTATCCTCAAATGTCGTTTTCTGGACAAACAAAACACGTTTTAAATATCTTATCAGCTGCTTTAAGTGCAGAATATTGAATATAACTTTGACTATTACTGTGTACTTCATTTATCTGACAGCATTATTTAATGATACTATTTTATATACTATATATACACACATTTATTCATTTATAAACATATATATATATATATATATAAACACACACTTATATGTCTATTACTGTGTACTTCATTTATCTGACAGCATTATTTAATGATACTATTTTATATATATATACACACATTTATTCATTTATAAACATATATATATATATATATATAAACACACACTTATATGTCTATTACTGTGTACTTCATTTATCTGACAGCATTATTTAATGATACTATTTTATATATATATACACATACATGTATTTATTCATTAATACACACACACTCACATATATACACTTTATATTAATTCATTTGTACACACATACATATATATATATATATATATAAACAAAACAACACAATATAATAAAAACAGTTGCAATAATAACATAATATGGTATGATCAATTCTACCCTTTTGTTTTTGCTCCCATATTTCAATTAACAGATATTTTTCAAAATCAATATTGGTGGGGGCTCTTTTGCAAAGATAATCAATAACACCACCTGACAGTAGTTGCAGATTATACAGCATACTTGTTACTTACACACATGTGCAATGGTCCCAAAAACACCAAAATCT